GTCGCAGTCCTCCTGGCACTTAACAGCATATACAATATTGCTCTGTTTGTGCCGGGGCACCGGATCTTTGGGGTGAACCAGCCTTTGCCGTAATGTGTTTTGGGGTTTGAAAGCCACAGGGACATCATGTTTAGAAAATAAACGTCTCAGTTTCTCCGAAACACCCGCAACATACGGAATAACCACTGGTTTGGGTCTGGGTTTGTAGGGACACTGTCTGCTCTGTGGTACAGAGTCCACACTCAGCAGGAAATTGTTTTAGTGTTTTTAGCTGAACTCAGAAACCAAAGTTCTGTTAAGTTCTAGTTGGTTCTGTTTTCTGCAGGTTTGAAGATGAATAAACATAATGTTGCAAACATTCCTAATGTTGTCCAGGTGAGAGCTTGTAGCTCCGCCCACACACACTTATATTTTATTTATACTTCTCATTCAGCCACAGTTAAATTCACTCTGCGTAGCAGGCACAGTTTATATGATAGTTTTTATTTTTATACTAAGCAGCTGGGATGAAAACAAGCAAAAATGAAATAAAAGTAACAACTTTCTAAAATGTAAGGAGAAAGTACAGATAATTGTGTGAAAATGTAAGAAGCAGAAGTAAAAAGTAGGCTGAAAAATAATTAAGTAAAGTACAGATACACAAAAAGTGTACTTAAGTACAGTAAAGAGGTATTTGTACTTAGTTACTTTACACCTCTGGTAGCAGGCACTTTTAAATTTGTATAAGAGTTGTTTTTGTTTCTTTTATTAGTTGTTGTCATCTCTGAGGACGTGTTGTTGCTCTGAGAATAAAATGTTAACATGTGAAGTCAGATGTTTGTTTTCTCATCAGTTCTGATGAAAACTGCAGTAAACCAGGTGACATGTCTGGTTCCTAACAGCAGGGGGCGCTCAGGCCTCATTAGTTCCAGCCGTCATTGTTTGTTTGTTCATTGGAAACACACAAACTAACACAACTCTACTGGATCCATTTGGTACTGGTCCCACAGAGCTGTGAGCTGTTACACTGTATTTAACACCACAGTGACTGGAACACATCAACACACCTGTGCTTTAGTTATGACGTCATTTATGTGTCTGCTACGATCATCCCACACTTCTTACCTGGCAACACGGTGGGTGGTTCGGTTCGGACCAGAGGTGTGACGGCTGGATAAATCTGGGCTGCGGACTCCGTTCAGGACAGAAGCTGCATCATGGTCCTCCTCCTCCTCCTGCTCGGCCTCCTCGGTCTGCTCCTCTTCCTCCTCCACGGCAGAAAAAGGTCAGTTCTGACCCGGTTCGGTTGTCTGAGTGTAGAACCGGACCGGGTTCTGGAGTTCTGGTTTTGCTTTGATTAAACTTTGAGACAAACAAACTTTTTCAGGGGGAAAAAAGTTTCCCGGTTTCGGTTTCTCTGTTAACTTGGATCCAGATGTTGTGGTTCCGCTACGATCCGAACCGAACTGATTATAGATAGTTCCCACACGTCTGAACCGGAAGTACCCTTTGAGCTTTAGACGCCGTGTTGCAAAGCAAGAAAAGTAACAACAATGTCAACAATGGCTTCCAAACCAAGAAAACATCCTGATACTCCTGAGCAACCTTCCAGAGGAAGATGTGTCAACAAAACCACTGGTTTGGGATCGACCCGGTCCAGGTGCCGAATGACAACATGTCAGAGGACGAGGACAGGCTGCCTCCATGTGTCATGTTCATATGACATGTGTCATGTTCATATTGACATGTGTCATGTTCATATTGACGTGTCATGTTCATATGACATGTGTCATGGTCATATGACATGTGTCATGTTCATATGACATGTGTCATGTTCATATGACATGTGTCATGTTCATATGACATGTGTCATGTTCATATGACATGTGTCATGTTCATAGTGATGTGTCATGTTCATATGACATGTGTCATGTTCATAGTGACATGTGTCATGTTCATATGACATGTCATGTTCATATTGACGTGTCATGTTCATATGACGTGTCATGTTCATATTACATGT